AGGGATGTTCGATAGGATCCTATATTTAGAAGTATCAATACATTTCACGAGTATCGTCATCCTTCGATCCGGACTGTGTCAGAAAGAGTGACTGCCATTTGGCTGCGACATTACCCTGCCAAATCAGACATATCTTTCATCATTTTCAAAGATATTGTACAAAATCTTCAAATTTGTGAAGTTAGCGAGTTTCACTTCATACGTTCTTACCAGAAATGCCCAAATCATCAGTTGCTGCCGTGATATTCATCCGGACCACTGCATCCCCACAGCTAGGCGACCTGTATGTTAAATTTGTATTGATAGGGCAGCGGGTTATTCTATAAATCATATGTCACAGTGTTTGTGCACTGATTGCAACGGTTAGATGATACCAAAAATATTTTCATAAATAGGAGATATTTCCCATTCCAGATCGAACAATCTACCAAAGATGCTTATAATCATGATACCTAGTAAATTTTAACGAAAAAATGCAAAACCAGCAAATGTAAAAGATTCATTTCGCACCCTCCACCACGGGACGTGATCGTCGTTAGACTTGGCAACCCTCGAGTGACAGATAGATATCCGTGCCAGTCAACGACCGCCAGTCAACGACCGCCAGTCAAAAACACAAACAATAAACATTACTAGTTTTGATGATTTTTGGACTTAAAAGGACATTATTTGTGAAACATTTTTCATATGCTTTTGTCTATGTCCATAGTAATTGCATTATGCATCAGGGAGATGTAGGGATTGACACGTCTTACACATATTATCTGTGTTTTAGGATGGAGAGAACATAATGTTTTTATTGCTTTGAAGAAATTCATTAACCAATAAATTAATAAATGATTACTACTATGACGTAAAGGAAGATGAGGAATTGGATGGAATGTATTTTATATTCCATTTTCTTGCAAAATACAGACAAATCCACACTATTCAATAGGTATGTAATGATAACTTTCAGTATATTGAAACTGGTAAATTCGAGAGTGCCATGCATTAACAAACGTCCAAATCTGCTGCCAAATTTAACAGCTAGAAAATCGACCTATTATTTCTCCCATTCCCATTCGCTGAGGGGATAACGGATGGTCAAATGTACACCTATAACACAAATCAAAATACATGAAAGCTGACCTGTTTTCTCTATACAAAAGCATCATGAAGAAGTGGTCTTGTTTATAATATAGTCGAATTTTCACGATTTTATTCAACATTTTAATAGAAATCACTGATATTCTGAGACCTTTGACAGCTTCCGTCAAATTGCATTTCGATAAGGTATTTTCCTATTGGTCCATAATATTAATGTTGGTGAAATCGGCCCTTAGTCTTTTAATAGAAATCGATCAAATCATTTGAAAGTTAAGCCCATTTCTCGGTATGATTTTTAACTCGCGATGCTGAAACTCCCAAACAGATGAATTATGTATGTAATAAATGTTTTTCTCAAACACCGCCTGCATTATCCACCAGGTGGATTGAGTAGCTTGGTGGGTGATATTACCGGTCCCGACTCTGGATAAAGGGGGAGGGTTGTAGGGTTAGGTTACCAGCTTGCCATATATAAAAAATAAAAAAAAAGCTCAAAGAACCGATGAAGAGGCTCGGACTAGGACGGAAAATATGGTAACGAAAAAGGCGAGAAAAAGGACGACGAACTGGAAAACGAAAAATATAATGAGAGTGGCTACGTGGAACATAAAAAGCCTAAATAACCGAGATCAGGAAATAGAAAAAGAGTTGAGATAACATCAAATAGATATCTGCGCCCTGCAGGAAACAAAGAGGAAATGTAGAGGACACACGCTACTTGGACAATATTTACTAGTATATAGTGGGGTTCCAAAACAAGAGAGATTAAAGCAAGGTGTATCGATAATGAACAAAACAAAATATAAAGATCAAATTAAAGATTGCCAGTACATATCTCAGAGTAGTAAAGATTAGGGCGAACAGCAAAATTATAAACATACTCGTATGTACCAGAAGACTGCAAACCTGACAGCGATAAAGAAGAATTCTATGATGAGCTCCAAACATTAGTGGAAAAAGAAGTAAAGCAAAATGAATTACTTATATTATTGGGAGATTTCAATGCTAGAATAGGAGACGAAGTAATACCTGGAATAAAACAAAGGTTTAACAAAAGAGTCATCAATGAGAACGGAAAAAGAATGGTGGACTTCTGCACATCAAACGAACTGAGAATAACCAACACATTTTTTGATCATAAAATTCAACACAAATACACGTTTGAAAATAGAAGAGGGCTAGGCTAACCACAAAATATACGCAAAAATGAAATAATGAAAAATCGGCTACACAACCTACAATTAGTCCATTGAACTGTGACTGTAACCCAAAAATCTAGCATATAACAGGTCATTCATTGTACTTAGTCGAATATACGTATATAGGATGCCATCTATGCGAATAATATTTCGATACTTTTTGCTGCTCCTCATGAACATGCCTTTCACAGTATACAGGGTGTTTCAGTTTATTGTTGCATAACTTGAAGATTCGATAGATTAATATTAATGCATAAAGTATATATAAACATGGGTCGAAAAATGCGTGGCTTCCAAAATACTAAATTTACTTTCTAAAATAGTTTTTTTTTAAATATTTCGAACAATATTTGATGTACAACAGTGAAAATTGGTATACAAGGGTTTTTTGGTACGACAAAACGAACCATGGGCATAGTTTTACTGTAGCTGCTAAAGGGCGCTCTCTACTGTTCCTGTAGTGTATTAAAATGACCGAACATTTTTTCTTAGTGCAATTTTTTGCTTTTTGAATAAAAAAACTGATTCCTCGCACTTTTCAACATAAAAAGCTCTCCTGTGAGTTTTCGTTATAGTTAGCCGTTTTGGAGATATTTCGATTTTTAAGGTTCGATGCATTTTTAATTATTTATGGGAAAATAATATTTTTTTTACATTTTCGATTTGGGCATTACAAGTAATTAAGATGATCGTTTAGATTGTGTTTTTAAACACAGCAATAATTCCTAACTCCAAATAAACACAAAAAACAGAATATTAATTTGTTTAATTTTCCAATATTATTTTTAACAAATTAAATTAATTATTTACAACTAAAATGCTATTGGATAGTTAGGACAAACATACAAATCTAAAGTAATTGCTCGAAATGTAAACCCAATTGTTCAATGCACAATTCACATCTACGAATGATCGAACGTGGTATTGCATTATTCAAATAAGGCCTTATTTCATCACATGCATTCCTGATTCTGTCTATTAGCATATCTCTTGTGGTTACGGGAGTCTGGTACACTTTTTCTTTTAGAAATCCCCACACAAAGAAATCTGATGGATTTAGGTCAGGGGATCGTGGAGGCCAGGCGAGTGGTCCTCCACGGCCGATCCATCTTTCTGGATAATTTTCGTCCAGCCAGTTTCTAACTATTCTCGAATAATGAGCTGGACAACCATCAAGCTGGAACCAGGCCAATCTTCTTAAATCTAACATAACATCATCCCACATATTTGCATGTTCAGCCTTTAAAAATTCCAAGAAGGCCGCAGCATTTAACCTTGCAGGCAAAAGGTAGGGTCCAAATAGTCGATTACGGGAGATACCAATCCACACGTTCACACTAAATTCATGCTGAATATTTCTTTCACGAAACGCATGCGGATTTTCATGCGACCAAATATGTTGATTATGAAAATTTACCACTCCACGTCTAGTGAAGCATGACTCATCGGTCCATAAAACGTTACTTAAAAACTCCCTATTATTATCAGTTCTATCAAGAATCCACTGACAAAATGTGATTCTTCGTTCTCCGTCCCCTGCTGTAGTCCTTGCACAGGTTGCAAATGGTAAGGACGTCTATGGTCATTTCTAAGAACACGGTGAACATGGCTTGCTGAAATTCCCAAGCACCAGAAACGCTCCTAACACTTGTGGTTGGATCTCTATCAAACTCACGCAGAATCATACGGGTAAATCTGCGCTGTCGAACATTTATGTTTTGATTCCTTTGGAGATTTCCAAAACCATTTTCAATTATTTGGCGATGCACTCTTACAAATACTGAGCGAGTTGGATGCCGTCTGTTTGGAAATCTTCGTGCGTATTCTCTGGCTGCTTCTGCTGCGTTTCCATTTACAAAGTCATACACAAAATGATTGGAGAATAAAAATGGCATTTTTATAAAACTTACAAAAAAAAACAGGTAAAAGGAACTAAATTTCGTGCATTCACAATTGCAAAAAACGTTTCAGGTTTCAACAGACAACAAAACTAACAGTCAACTAATTGACGTTTAACCTTATTCTGCTTTCAATTTCAAAATATTTGCAGGCACAGTCTACTTCTAAAAATTATCGAGATACTGACTTTTTAACGTTATTTTATCATAAATAATTAAAAATGCATTGAACCTTAAAAATCGAAATATCTCAAAAATGGCTAACTATAACGAAAATTCACAAGAGAGCTTTTTATGTTGAAAAGTGCGAGAGAATCAGTTTTTTTATTCAAAAAGCAAAAAATTGCACTAAGAAAATTTTTCGGTCATTTTAATACACTACATGTTCAGTAGAGAGCGCCCTCTAGCGGCTACAGTAAAACTATGTCCATGTTTCGTTTTGTCGTACCAAAAAACCTTGTATACCAATTTTCACTGTTATACATCAAATATTGTTCGAAATATTTAAAAAAAACTATTTTAGAAAGTAAATTTAAACACACTATATTTCGGAAGCCACGCATTTTTCGACCCATGTTTATATAGACTTTATGCATTAATTTTAAAAGTTCTATCGAATCTTAAAGTTATGCAACAATAAACTCAAACACCCTGTATAGGTTTCTTTCGTTTCAACCCTGCAATTCCTCGAGACTATTGTCTAGTAAATATGGCATTAGATTCAAGGACAAATACTATTATAACTTATAACCGTCTATGTTTTAACGGTGTGAAACTGTGTACAACAAATTGTAATATTTGATTAACTATTTTCAGTTACCATGGCTACACAGCCGATAGCCCTGGGTCCAGATCCAGCATCGTTGACCTGTCCACACTGTCATGCCAGAGTGACAACGACTATGAAAGCGGCTGCAAATACTAAAACTCACATAATCGCTTTAATTCTATGCGTTTGTCTGTAAGTATATTATCATTAAAACTCACCATAAAGAGACACGAGCCATCGCCAAGAATTTGTACATTGTCAGTATGTCAGATCAAATATCCGTCATTACACACAAAACAGAGTGATCTTGGTTCAAGAACAACTATCTTCAATAAGTACCGTAAACGTGCGTTTCGTAAAAAAAGTCAAGTTAAAATACTCCAGCTGATAACACTATCGGACGTTTATACGCAAAATTTGTGAACACCGGTAGTCTTAGTAATGCCAGCCACCTATCCAGACAACCAAACAAGACGTTCCGATGAAAATATCGAAGATGTACGAGCCAGTGTTGAAGAGACTCCATCAATATCCGGTCGACATCCTTCTCAACCACTCGAAGCACTCTCAGACGCATAATTCGTAGGATTTGAAGATGTTTCCATACCAAGTTCAAATGGCTCATCAATTCCGTGTCGCTTTGACTTTGCTAAATGGGGCATTGAAATTGCCGAAAATGAAGATAACTTTTGGCGAAAAATCATCATGTCCGACGAAGCACATTTTTCGTTACACGAAGGCGTAAGTAAACAAAATTGTCGCTTTTATGCCACCAAAAACCCTCAATTAATCGAACAGCAACCTCTTTATGACCAAAAAGTTACTGTTTGATACGACATGTGCGCGAATATGGTCATCGGGCCGTATTTTTTGAGGACGATGATGGAGCTCTGGTAACCGTCAATGGTGAGCGTTATCGAGCCATGATAACAAATTTTTTGAGGCTAATTGTTTGTGAAAATGACATGGACGATTACTGGTTCCAGCAGGACGGCATCATATGCCACACAGCTCAAGCAACAATCAATTTATTGCGACCATTGTTCCCAGGATGACATATCGAAAAATGGCGATTTTGACTGGCCACCAAGATAACCTGATTTGACGCCACCAGACTTTTATTTGTGAGCTATTTGAAATCCAAGGTATACGCTAACAAGCCAAGGGCTCTAGCTGCCCTCAAGAACAATATTAGTCAAGAAACTGCCGCCACATCCGCCGAAACATTGGTCAACGTGATGGAAAAAGCCGAAAAAAGGGCACATTGGGTTATCAAGGCCATTTGCGCGATATCATTTTTGAAAAGTAATTACAACAAATCTCCTTGGATCAAAACAGAAGATTTTTCAAATGAACAACAAAAAATGTTTTTTCAATGTATTTTTTATAAACAAATGCTTCCACTTTAAATGGCCCACGCTGTACTTGTGTGTACGCGTATTATCCATAGTCTACTCACAATTGACGAACTTTTGCAAGCCAGCCACTTGACGGTGCTATAGAATAATTATGTGAGTAAAATTTTTAGAATTTTCAAAATCTTCCAAATTTTCGATATTGTTAAAAATTGAAATTTTTTTGGATGTTTTGAAAATTTTTATTATTAGGAAAGTAGTAGTAATATGCTGGGAATGTATGCAAAGAAATGTTTCAATTGCTTTCAGTTTTGAGTGTATATGTTTTCAAGGTCGTTGATAAAGAATTTGATAATGACCTCCAATGACGCGTAACTGTCAAAGCTGCAGTTAGTTGCAGCCAAAATTGACATATTTCTTAACTGGGTGTCTCTAACTTGAAATAGAGCGACCTCTAACGGATGTTTTTTGTGAACTCTTTTTGACTTTGTTATCGTATCGTATCATGTGACGAATTGACAAGTGATACAATGCCATGTCATAATAATAATAATAATAATAATAATAATAATAATAATAATAATGATAATAATAATAATAATAATAATAATAATAATAATAATAATAATTCTTTATTCAACGAATCATCAAGCGATGAAAAATAAATAAAAACTGGTACAATGAACAAACATCCAAAAAACACTTAAGGGACGATACTAGGATAAAAAGGTACAAACAAATGTATACTAGTTTCTAAGATAAGCGAGAACTCGTCAATACTGTAAAAGCAGCCTTCCAATAAAATGTTTCTTACCTTTCTTTTGAAGCTATTCAACGACCTAACCTAACGCATGTCGGCTGGAAGCAGGTTAAAGAGCATACATCCAGCATAAACTGGAGACTTTTTATAGTACATGTGTTGAAATTTATTGTTAATGAAATTGTCTTTGTTACGCGTGTTGTAATTATGCATAACGGAATGTCTTTTAAATTTGTTCTAATTTTGGAAAAAATAGACTAATAGCTTGAACATATAAATAGATGCCACAGTAAGAATTCGATAACGTTTGAATATTTCCCTCCAAGAAGACTGATAGTGAATTTTAAAAATTAAACGAATGATCCTTCTTTCGAGGATGAAAACACGCTGGGTGTCTTTAGCCTGCCTCCACAAGACAATAAATACGATATGAAATAGCAGAGCATCCTAAACGCATAATAAATATTCAAGCATTCTGTATCTAAGGTATTTTTTAAAGAATTTATCACAGAATAACATTTACCAAGCTTAGCGCATAGTGAATTGGCATTTTCCTCCCATGACAGATGTGAGTCTAAAATTACAAAGAATTTAAATGACATGGATGATTTTATTAGAGATCCTTCAAAGTTGTGATTAATATTAGTCGGAGGTGTATGCCTGATGTGAAACTCCATGGTTACAATCTTATTACAGTTGACGATTAAGCGGTTTTTATAGGACCAAACATCAAATTCCTTTATCACAATTTTTGTTTTTTGCTCAAGGCTTTCCGCTGAGTTAGCAGATACAATTATACAGGTGTCATCAGCGTATAAAAATGGTGCGCCTTCACTGATATACAAAGGAAGATCATTGACAAACAATAAAAAGATCAAAGGTCCTAAGACGCTACCTTGAGGTGTTCCACAATCGATGTCAAATTCAGTAGATTTTTTATCATCAACTTTTACAAAAAAATTTCTCTTTTCCAAAGGTCGACCATGAGTTAACACAACCTCGAATTCCAATCTTATTGAGCTTATCAGAAACAAACTTGTGGGAAACAGTATCGAATGCTTTTGTGAGAAAAATATTGCTGTTACGAGCGTACCATTATCGACAGAAGTATATTGTAACAAGAATGAATAGTACCGTTGGGGCCATCTGTTGGGGACCGTGCCAGAGACTCTCTTTCGGTGGCGACATCTGTTGAGGACCGTGCCAGTGACTCGCCTTCTAGATCGACGCGAAGTGACCTCGAACAGTCTAGACTGCCGCTTTGTGGCTCGCCAGAATCTTCTCGACCCAACGATACGGACTATATAACCCGACGGCCGGGAGAGGGAAGCAGAGTAGAGTAGAGTAGGGTAGAGCAGAGTGGAGTATAGTTCAGTCAATGGCGCGACATAATAATTAGTCTGACATAAATAGTGGTGTATGTTCTGTCTAGTCAAGATAAATAAATTAGGGCATTTCTTTTTGTGGAATCCATTGTTTTAATCCACACCCAAAAGAACCCAGAAAAAGGCTACAATATGCTGAACACATTCGGTGGTTACTAGTTCTGTTGAAAATCCAGCACGAAAACCAAACTAACGGTTTGTCAAGATTTTATAAGTGTTTAAGTAAGACTCAATCTTTATTGCAATGACTTTTCCTATGATTTTTGAGAAAATACTTAAAAGAGCTATTGGCCTGTAGTTTTCTATGTCTAAAGGATCACCTTTTTTAATATTAGGATAATAGTAGCTAATTTTAATGCAGATGGAAAGGTACCTTTAATTACTGAAGCATTGATAAGTTCAGAAAGTATTGGTTCAATAATATTATCATTATCCTTAAATGGCGAAACGGGAATCTCATCGGGTTCAGTACTTTTTTATTGGGTAAGTTGTTGATTACATCGATGACGTCACTGGTGATGACAGGACTGAAAAACATGGTGCTGGTGTTGATAGATGCAGTAGTACATTCATTGGATATATTAGAGAAATGACATGACATACTTCTTTCAATGACAGTAGATAAGTATTCACCAAAGGAATTTGCTATAGTAGATGGCTCGTCAGATGTTATAATATGTACCATCAACGGGGATACAGTCAATTTTATTATTTCTGCACTTATATGATGATAGATACATACCTTTGGCTCTGCAATCGATCTTGCCACAGCTCAATACAGCTGGTTATTTTAAAACGTGGAAATATTCAAATAAAGTATTTTTCAAGAGTATCGATTACGTCAAACGTGACAGCAAATAACAACAGCAATGCTAACGGATCTTCCAACGCTAGATCTGTAGTATTTTGTTGTGATGTTGTGTGTACGCTATGCGATCATGCAACGCAACGCTTTTATTTAGGAAAGCACCTTCGCACACAAGAAAAAAATTCTATAAGCAGAATGCTAATTATCGAGACTACTTCAAGTCACGTAGGAATAAAACAAGATAAACACCTTTTGAGTATGTTTTGGTATAAACATATACAAAACGAGAGAACGAGAAGAATATGGATGACCTCTGCCTTAGTAAACTCTGTAAACAATAAAAACGAACTATAGCACGAAATGACAGAACAACCTACAGAAAACAATATAAACAGATTCAAAGGCTAGAAACTTGTTAAGTAATTTAATAAAACTAAGAAAGAAAGAATTTTATGATAATAAGATGAAACAAAACAATAACAGCAGTAAAATGCTTTGGAAATGTGCGAAAAACATATCTAGCTGGGCAAATGAAAATACGGCAATCACTAAAATCTAGAATGAGCTCGGAAATGAAACAACCAACAAATATGCTTTTGCTCAGGAGTTGGTACAACATTTCACAAATATCGGCAAAAGGCTTGCGGAGAAATACCACAGACACATCCTATCAAGCAAACGCATAAGCTCAGCAATTCACTTTACTTAGACTATACCGATGAAAATGAAGTTATAGTGACTATTTTGGAACTAAAAAATGGCAAAGCTCCCGGAAATGACAACCTAAAATCAGTGATCCTTAAAAAATACGCTAGCATATCTGCAAGCCGCTAACTTACATAATAAATGAATGTTTTCGTACAGGGGTGTTTCCGGATGACTTATAAAAAGGCTACCATAATACCGATACATAAAAAGAGCAGCAAGCTTGACGTGAGAAACTACAGACCAATATCATTAATTTTCGAACATCGCCAAAATCATAGAAGAAATCATAAAGAAAGGGCTACTAAACTTTTTTTGCTATATATGACGTTTTGCACAAAAATCAATTTGTATTCAAGGAAGGCATATCTTCGCAAGATGCAATAGCTACACTACAAGGAAACTATATAATCTCATGAATGAGATGCTATTGGCATATTCATAGACTTAACAAAAGCTTTCGATACTGTTAGTCACACCAAGGCTCTTAGATACACTAGAACAGTGGTGTAAGGGTAAATCCATGTCTAATATCGAGTTACTTGAGTAGCCGAAAGCAATGTGTAAGAATTGATAATATAACAAGTGATTATCAAAATATCAGCTGCGGTAACCCGCAGGGAACTGTTTTAGGCCCCATTTTATTCAACATCTACAGAAATAATTTATTCTCAATAGATTCGGGGAGTACAGTGCTAGGATTCGCAGACGATACTGTTATCACTTATGAAGCCTCAAACTGGGATGCACTAAAAAACAATACTGAAAACTACCTTAAAAATGTACTACCATATTTTAACAGCAAATCATTATCAGTCAACGCTGCGAAGACTACCTTTGTACTTTTGTCTTATAAGAATCACTTTCTTCCGTACACTGAAATTAACGTCAAAACAGCAAATAGTACCATAACTATTAAAAAATGTCAAACCAGCGTTAAATACCTCGGAGTTTATAATGATGATAATTTAAGATGGGATGTACAAATTGAGTATGTAACAAAGAAAGTAAGATGCCTTATGACAAAGTTCAAGTACCTTAGCTTTGATTGCACGAGCCCCTTCCCACTTCAGTTGGCCCAACTATTGAAATCTTAGTTTTTTTCTTATCAAACACAAATAATAAAAATGTAGCAGGATGTTATAGGTTTAAAATATTAACAATGAATATTTTGATAATATATAGTAGAAAACACCAACTTTATCACTCCCTAATCAAATTTGCAGCATAAAAATAACACATGTTGCAATTACAGCATATCATCCTGTTTTCATTTCAGTGCAAAATAAGTCTATAACGCATAGGTGGCTGTGAAAAATAAAAGCCATGACAATTGTTTTTATTAATCACAGCTGTCAGAATACGTTTAAAATAGTTTTGGGTAGTTAAGGTTTTCAAAATGGGTAGAGGAAAGGTTATTAGTGAAAAAATTTGAATACTGATAATTAAATTTTTTAATTCTGGGGAATCAAACTCAGAAATTGCAACTTTGTTAGACTTATCGCGGTACAGTGTGAGAAATATTGTTAGAAGATATAACGTAACTGGTTCAGTTAATATTAAGCCATGATATGTGAAAAAAAAGTAATATCACAAATGCCGACCGAAGAGCATTAAGAAGAATAATCGTGAGAAATAGGCGTGCCAATTATTTACAATTAAGTGCTTTGTGGAGTGACGCTGTTGGAAGGAGAATTTCGAGGTCCACAACTCATAGAGAGGCCCACAAACTGGGATTTAGCACTTGCAAGGTAAGTTTTCTTATAAAAAAAAGTGAAGTAAAAACCCTAAAGTTGCACAACTTGTTTATAGGCCAAAGAAAAGCCACTATTAACTCCACTGCAAAAGAAAAATCGGCTTAGATGGGCTAAAGAACATAGACAATGGACACCTCAACAGTGGTGTGCAATACAATGGAGTGATGTGGCCCGATTCGCAGTTTGTGTTAGTGACAGTCGCAGTAGAGTTATTCGCAAAAAAAATGAAGCATTCCATGTTGACTGTCTGAAGAGAAAAGAAAATGTGGATACAAACAAATATTTGGCAATTTTAGAAGAATCGCTTTTACCAGTGGTGGAAGAATGTTTGACATCCGGCCAAGATGGTGCAGCGTGCCATACCTCAAAAAAGACTTTAATATGGATGGAAGAAAATAATGTACCACTTTTGAAACGGGTTTCTATCAGTCCAGATCTGTCACCTATTGAAACTTTGTGGCACGAGATGAAAAAGGTTCTACGACAACATCCTGCTCGTACAATCACCGAACTGAGACAAAAGATTCAAGAAATATGAGATTGTTTTACACCAAATTTTTGCCAAAACTTGGTTAACACTATGCCCCAAAGAATTTCAGCCGTAATAAAAAATAAAGGTGATGTTACCCAATGGTAATCTTTCAATCGTTGCTTTGTTAAATTCGCACATTTATTCTCACATTGTTTATTTGTTCAGATGTTCTATTACTTATAGGTCTAAGTGATGTCAAATATGTATTTTTTACGACTAGAGTGTATCTAAAATGTTTTTGAGAAAATAAATTGTTTTAGAAGTAAATAGTTTCGTCATGTTTAGTTTATAAAGGCATATTTTGGTACAAATCTTGAAGTGGGCCAACTGAAGTGGGAAGGGGCTCGTATCAGAGTCGCACTTGTGCAGTCACATCTTTGCTACGCAGTAATTGGTTGGAGAGAAGCGGCATTCTCATATTTAAGAAACTTGGAAACTGCTCAAAAATATATACTAAAGAAAGCTCATCCGTCTGACGAACTATATCATGAGACCGGAATGATGGACATAAAACAGATTTTTATCTATAATTCCATGGTATATTATTACTTTAAAAATAAAACGTTTCATGAAAAAATGATCCATACATATGACACCCACCACCAAATAGTACCCAAGACAGAAAAAACACTATTACAACGCTCTTGGGGTTATCTATGTTCCAAGCTGTACAATGAAATACCTGTCGCTTACAAAACTATACAAAATATTGGACTATTTAAAAAAAGAATTTCATTGCGGATAACAACCATACCTAGAAAAAAAATCCATGAGTATATATAGATGGCAAATCGTTGTACAAGCCTCTATGTAAAGGCCAGATGTAGTCACCAGCCTGTATGAATGTGATGATTATCGTATATTTGTAGTGCGCTTTTTATATTAATTTTGTTTTTACTATATTTTGCTATATTGACGATAGCCATACCTTTATTAGTGGCAAGTTTCAATACTTTTTTAATGTGTGCATCTCAATGATTTGTGAATGTACAATTTCTTTGTTACTTAATATTTTTAACCTTCTTTTTCATTTTTTTATACTTTACGGATAGCTATAGCTTCAATGCATTTTTTTAACTTTCATTTTAAACAAACAAATAACCAGAGCCATTTCACGACTCATAAGTTGTTTCGCCAGTGACCATGATGGCAAATGTGACAAAAATTATATTATTTCCACACACAATAATCAAATCCAAGTGAATAACAAACATTTCTGTGTTATGTATCGCGGTTATAGTATGGTTCAAGATGACGCACGGGTTGATGAGGTCAGTTACTCGAATCGCTTGAACGCGTTGGTTTTAACCGCGGTTTTGTTGTAAGTTGTTTATTTTAGAAAAGCTCTATATAATTTCTTTTTATTTTTATTATCACTTAATAATCGGTGCTTTTTCGTCTACAACAGTGTATGGAAAGTTTAAAAAAGAAACCTTTCATATTATTAATGGGAGAAATCTTTTTTTTCAGAAAAAAAATTTTAATCATGGAGCCATGGCTTTGTAGCTATGATAACTTTCAACCCTCTAAACTTTTCCGCATGTCAAAGAAAACATTTATTGATTTAGCAGCAATGGTAGGAAAAAACGATGAAAAAAAATATTCGCAGGACCGCATACAGGTGGACATCATCCAGTGAGTTTATATGGCCATATTTTAATGTTCTTGTGGTATATGGCTACACAGGATACTTTGTTAAGCATAGGAACTAGATTTAAACTATCCCCAACAACAGTAATGATTATAACTAATAAGGTGCTCTACTTTATGCTAAAACTGAAGTCAGCCTGTATCAAGTTTCCCAAAAATGAAGCTGAAGTATAGTACAATAAAAATATCCAATACCCGGCAAAATTCTAACTTGTCACATTTCAAATAATAACCAGAAATATAAAACTACTCCTGAGTTGGGTAAATACCACAATTTTGCGGTGATAACTATGACATATAGCAGCTGATTCATGACGTCACGGATCTTATAACCAAAGTGATAACCACACTCGCTTGAACGGATCGGTAAATACCAATCGAAAATGGTAAATACCGCTTTCATTTGGTTATTCGCTTGAATTTGATTAAGGTTTCTCTTTCATGGCAGTGCATTAATTTGTCATTGTTGCTCCTATACTGGCAACAATTATAGAAATCTGTATTTTTGCCACATACAAAAAAATTATAAACAGTTCTGAGCGTCTTGACGTCTGCTGTGGCGAATAGCTGACCAGCGAGTGATCCTTCTATTAAAGCCTTTAGTGGCAATAATGAATCGGGTATGAATCGAGTTCAGAACTGTTTATGCCAAACATAGTAAAAAACCTTTGAGGGTTACCCGCTATGGCGACTAACCAATCTTAACAAAAACAGTAACAGACTGCTTCGGCAAAACTTTAGTGGCGCTGTACACTGGTCATTGCAAATTGCGTCATTGCATGAGCAGGCTGCTTATGGCGGAAGATGCTGAGTGCAGACTGTGCATGCAGTGAAATGAAACGGTTAGGCATGTTTTGTGCAGATGCCCTGTAAATGCCAGAGTCAGGTACACACTTAGGAGAGTAGTCCTCCAGGTAGAAGACCTGAAGGATATTTCTCCTAACAAGCTGATCGTCTTCCTTGGAAGGTGGGGAAATAGGTGTGAACCACAGTAGACGAGTGGAGGATCGCGATTGACCCACTCACAAAAAACCTAGTGAAAACATTTTTTTATTGTTACTTGACTTGAAATATAGTCATGATCATTAGCAGCCATTTTGCTTGTAGCGTTTCTTCGAGTGTGCGAAGGTACTTTTCCAAATAAAAGCATTGTTATTAAGTATAAATCAGTAGCGTACAAAAGACCACAATAAAATGTACAACAAAACAGTCTAACGGTGACAGATCTGTCAGTATTGTGTGTCACTAGTTGATTTGGGGTATTTTGTAGTGTCTCTAGATAATCAGTTATTACTTGCTATCATATTTGCCGTAATCGATACTTGTGAAAAAGACTCTATTATAAGTTGTGACATTTTACTAAACGATATTTGGCACGGTATCATTATTTTGGATACTAAATCTATTTCATATTTACACCACCAGGTACTCGTATCATTCCACGATGAAACATTTTGCGTATATTTTATGTGATAAAAGATTAAAGATTACATGACAGGCGATATAATATTTGATTAATGATAAACACATTGCTGTATAGCTCTGCCAGAAATAATTCACGTTAACTCATTTTTTTACTTTTCCAGATGCATACCTTGCGTATGTATTCCATATTGCTGTGATTCCTGCCAGACTTTACAACATTACTGTCCAAACTGCCAGGCATACTTGGGGTCGTATGCTAACTGAAAGTGTATTTTTTATATTTTGGGTTTTTGTTGTACTTTATACTGGGCGATTAATGTTTAACCTTACTAGCATGTTTGTACATCAAATATTTATATAAATACGTGTTGCTTTATTGTAAACCTATTCCCAATTTTGTTATCTCAACAAGGTACTTACGTTGTATCGCCATATGTCTGCACAAATTACCATTCTATTCTAATAGATTAGGAGCCTAGCCTATATGTTTGTATTGCATTATTTGTCGCCAAAATTGCGGAGATTTAGTGCATGTTTTTACTCAGTGGCCTGCCAATGCTTACTAAAGTGTTAGCGTTGTATCAACATGATATTAGTACTTACCGATCGAAAAATCTCTCGTTGCAAATTATGTAAGAAGTACCATCATCTTGAAATCGTCTAACACCTTAATTCTGTAAAGACTAGCACTTTTAAAAAAAAACACTAAGGGACATATCGTCAGTCGTTTCTACAGTTGTAGGACGCCTTTAGGCCCGTATCGCCAGTCGTTCCTACAATTGTAGGACGCCTTTATGGCCTCCTTGATTGTCATAGTTTTCTACTTTTCCGTGTCAGCGCTCTATTTTGAGGTTATGTCACAAATATCTATTTGCGTCAAATTTTGCTTGCTTTTGAGTTAAATCATTTTTTATCAGCCTGAAATTTCCTACAATTTAAAAAGAAAACATGGCACGGGACAGGTTCAATCTAGAAATGTTTGAAGGAGAGAAAGAAGTATGACAATCAAGGAGGCCATAAACGCGCCCTACGATTGTAGGGACGACTGACGATACGGGCCTTAGGGTCTCCTTAATTTTCATAGTTTTCTACTGTTCCGTGTCAGCGGTCTATTTTGAGGTTATGTTACACATATCTATTTGCATCAATTTGTTCATTCTTTTGATTTATAACATCTGTAATATCATCCTGAGATTTCTCACAATTCAAAAAGGAAACATAATCTCACAATAGGAGAGCGCTGGCGCTGACACCGAACCCTAGAAATCTAGAAATACCCCAGCCTTTCTGAAGGAGAGAAGAGGCTATGAAAATCAAGGAGGCCATAAAGGCGTCCTACAATTTGTCAAACTGTCAAAAAATGTACTTGTCAACTGCACTTTGATCTCTCGCTATGAGAATTGGAAGACACAAATCCTTGACTGGCGCCCTCTACCAGTTCGAATTCGTTGGTTGGAACTGTATCCCAGTTCGTATCGCCACCCGGTAGGGGTATTATTACGTATTTTTAACATTGTCGGTTTTTTTGACATTATATAGGTTTTCCTATAAGATGTCAGCTTGAAACTAGCTGTGTTCGCTTGATGTATACTCGTTGTGTACGTATCACCTAAACGTCATGACGCATGAGCTATCATGGTTTGGCTCTGATTTGATGTAACATCTGCTTCAGCGATGGCATGATTGGAAGTATAAGCTGTAAGTTGTATACTACGCCTGGAAGCAAACGTCAGTACATACGTGCTTAGTGAGGATTTGTGTGCTAATAAAAACTGTGTTGATGTTAATTTCCTTGGTTTCTTGTCTCAAATGCACTTACTTGAGATGTAGATATGCAAAGCTAGATATTAGTTGCGCATCCACTTTTTCTTATTTATCCTGGAAATTACATATGCAAATTTGCTGAGTTTCAAAAATGCGAAAGATAAGAAAATAAAATCTCTGACTGGTATATAAGAACTAGTAGACAGGAGTATTTATGAAACGTGAAAAGGTTATTGCATTTTACATTATTTTTTTTATTTCCATTCATTTAAATTTTATAGAAATCTATTCTGCGATGATAAGTAGAAAATACAAATCAGCGCCCGTAAGGCACAGCGAAAATTTTTTAAGTGTGATGCCTCATTCCCAGTGTTTCTGTGATGTGGCTTTGAAGGTAAGTGAATATATTTATTTTTTGAAATAAAGCCTTATATATAACTTAGAACCTCTCTCCAGAAAGGATAACACAAATAATAACACGTCTGGTACAGCTAATATACAGGGTGACTTCGAAGTTGAGTCATTTATTTTAACAGTGAGTAGATCTGATCAAAAGAAATGTTTTTTTCCTTTACCATTTTTCTGGTAAAATTAAAGTAACAAAGTTATAGCCCTTTGGAAGTTTGAGTACCGCCCTGCCTATTATATGCTCGTGTTTGGCGACAACGGATATAATCCGCCTGACCGGTTCATCGCATCGGAAACAAAAAAGCGAAAGAATTTGAAACGTTTATCACGATGTTTTTCGTCAGTCGATAAATCCTGAGTGAATAGTAGTGTGTTGCGTGGCTCAAACGAAATCAAAAATGGCACATGTTTACGAAAATGCTGAACTTGTGGACATGATTCTTATTTACGGGGGGGCAGTCTTTACAAAATGCTCCCGGATGCATCACGGATTTATGCGAATCGGTTTCCCAATCGAGTGCAACCAACCCCTCGTGCCTTTGTTAATGTAGTGCAAAGGGCTCGTGAATCAGGTGACTTAAGACCTCACAGGTGAGGGCATGCTGCTCCAAGACCGCACGATCAAATACAGGTCCGCACTGAAATACTTGTCGGGAGGATACTTTATTAAACAAGGTAACATTTTTTTTTTATTTTTTTTTTATTTTTACACACATATTTTGGTTTATCTTCCTTCTACAATCATTATCTGAAAATTAATGACTCAACTTCAAAGTCACCCTGTATATAATTCATAGCCAGGATATTGATAATTACTATCACAAGGGCATCTATTTTTTCCGAAGAAAATCGAAAAAAAAAACACCTTGCTAAGTCATATTTTAACAAGAAGCATGACTGCTGGTGACAACAAAAATCCGAGTCGAAGACGATTATTTTTGCACCTGCACGAGAGACAAGACTATTTCATGAGTAACAGATTATTCTGCATACACATAGCTTAAAAAATTTATTGACAATAAAATCAGAAAAATTGCTTAGCGTCGTTTTCTGGTGTCCTAGGAGACCATAATTACTTGTTATCAAAGGTATTGTAATTTTTGGTGACAAGAGCTGTCAAGTTTTGCCGCGGGTACACTCGAAAAAACTGCTGACAGGTGCTGTCATACAATTTTTCCATCTAGAAACAATTTATAATTCAAATTTGCGCGTTTGTGATTGCTAGAAATTAAGACGAGGGAAATAGTCAGTAATCATTTCCTCACATAAATATTACTGATTTTATACACATGCAGACCAATACACACATTCATCTGGATACCATTTTGCTATTCTGCTACTCCATCAATTTTGTTTCTTTCACATATTCTCAGAGATACATACCTTGCATACTCTCTTGACATTCTGCAATCAACAAAGTAGGCTGACGAACTGACTTGCAGCATGGTAGGTGACGCTATGGGTGACACTCACCGCTAGCAATAGCGAAATGTACTAATTGTATACTAGCAGGTATCTAGTCAGGAAGTTGACTTTTTCCGTTTTTTTATTTTATATAGGTCTTTTACGAAGTAACCACTGTGGCCGATTCTGGCGCTATAGTAGACACGGTCTATTCGCCATCAACAAACTAGTTATTTGATCGTCAACTATTGACGGCCAACCAAGGACAAATGTTGAGCCATACAGCTGTAAATTTATGTGAAGGACTCAAGAGAATTACACATGAGTGGAGGATTTATCAGAAAATAGTTGCCATTGTTTCTGATAATGAGGCAAATATAGTAAGCAGCTGTTAAGAAAACTGGCTGGAACCACATTCCTTGTTTTGCACATACAACTAACTTAGTGGTGCAATCATCTTTAGCAAAGATACACGGTATTAGACAAAAGTCAAAACCATAGTTGATTTTTTAGGCGTAGCCCACAAGCTACTGAAAAATTAAAACGGATGGAAATTCAACTTGGGCTTCCTGAATTAAAAGTGAAGCAAGATGTGGCCACAAGATGGAATTCCACATTTGACATGTTCCAACGCATACTAGAAATAAAACAACCATTGATGTCAGTAATTGCAATACATTGCACGAACCTACCAAATTTATCAAACACTGACATGAAAATTTTGGAAATATGTTGTCAGATATTAAAAGTGTTCAAGGAAGTAACAGAAGAAATTTCATCAGAAAAAGAAGTGACTGTTTCAAAATTATATTGTTTAGCAATTCACTTTCAAAATATTGTAGGAAATTTCTGGTGGATAATCCAGAAATTCCAGAAGAGTGTAAACAGCTGACTGAGGCTCTATTATCGTCTTTACAAAAAAGGTTTAGCAATATATAATTTAACAAAATGTTTGCTGAAGCAACAATTTTGGATCCATGATTTAAAAATTTGGATTTGATAGTAAAACAGCTTTCGAATGTGCAAAACAAAATTAATTAGTTATGTCACCAGGAATACCTCATCATCAAGTGAAGTCACCAACAGAAATGATGAGCAGATTCAGGCAGATGGAGTTGAATTAACAAAAAAACTACAAAATCAGCTATATGGGAATCTTTTGATTCGGCTATTGCTAATGTGGTGTCTAGTGTTAATCCTTTAACAGCTGGAATTATAGAAGTAGAAAAATATCTAGGTGAGCCATTATTGCAGAGAGATTGTGACCCATTCATGTGGTGGGAACAAAGGAAACATGTATATCCCTATATGTACTTATGAAAAGTAGGTTAAGCATAGTACCTACTTCAGTCCCGAGTGAAAGGATATTTTCTAAAGCTGGTCAAACTCTTACAGAAAAAAGGAGCAGTCTTCAAGGACAAAAAGTTTCCATGTTACTCTTTTTGAATTCCAATTTGTGATGATTATTGTTATACTTCAAATGCATACCAAGATGTGATTAAGTTTTTGTTTAATATATTTCTACAACTTGTTTATTGAAATATGTAAATTATTTTTTGTGAAAAGTTATATTTTTAGTTTTATTTATTTATTAAAATAATGTTCCTAAGTCATTACTTCTGTGAATAAGTTTTATGTTTGGTATATTTATTTTTGGTTTTTTTTATCTGTTTGATAGTTTATTTTATTGCAGCAATCAGGCTGTGATTAGGTTTCTGTTTAATATATGTTTTATTCGGTTTTTTATGACTTATATTCAAGTTTAATAAAATATGGTTCCTAATTACAGTTTTTTTTTGTAATATGTTATGTTGTAGGTATATTTTCAATATTCCTTATATTTATGTTCATTAAATTTATTTTTCTGTATTTTTTTCTTTACTAAATATCAATATAGCAGCTAAAGAGTATAAGTACTTTAAAGGTCATATCTAACATTTTATTATAAATTATCTCTATGACATGGACATGAAAAAGCTCAAAACTAAAAATTTTGAACTTGTTCAAGTCACTGTTAAGTGAAAGATTTTACTTACTTACTTTTTATTAATTTATAAACCGTTAGTAAAACTGAATAAATATTTCACTTACATTTTTTACCACTCCCATTGAATGACCTTGACTCTTTAAGTTACATAAAAATGAACAGTTTAGTATTATTATAAAAATTAGAACGCATTCAAAGATTCAAATTTCATTCAAAATTGTCACCATTGACAACTGACACTGT